ACTGAAAATTTTGTTTTGTTTCTTCTTATCGTCCTCCTTCAAATTCACTGTATATCTCGTATATTTTAAGTACCATTCAATTCAATTCATTCCAATATGTCATGTGTATGTGTACCAACCACATTGTCATCGGGGTTTGTGTCTCCGGTTGAATTTTTTTTTTTTTATTATTCATTTGTTAAATTCATTGATTCATTGAAATGAACTGAAAACTGAATTTGAATAGAGTGAAAGGTAGTGAAAGAGAGGTGATCAAATTCATTCATTCATTCTTCGTCTTCTGTGTGTGTATTTGGTTTGTCATTTGTCGTTCACCATTTTTCATCCATCTATCTATAATCAGTAAAGTTTAATGGTTCAACAACAACAACAACAAAAAACGGTCTGGACAGGATGAACCCGACAAGCCAAACGAAATCAACAAAAAAAAGAAAAGAAAAATCTATTGTTCTCAACGATGTAGTGGGGACACCAGAAAAAAAAATTCTTATCAAAATCAAGTCTTGACCATGTTTTATATGTGGCATAACAACATAAATTTAATAGAATCTTGACCTGATCATTTGATTTTGGTCTAATTTTGATCATACACACACACACACACAATCACCTTTTGTTGATTGAATCAATTCCGGAGATTTTTTTTCGGTGGGGGTGGGGGTGGTTTAAAATTATCATTATTGTCACAACACACACACACACACACTGATTTACAACAACAAGGTATGGGTCATTCCGTTTTGATTTTTTTTTCTATCGGAATGGATTCAATAGTGAGAATAGTATGGAAAGTAGAAAATTGAAACCATAAAGAACAATGAGAATTGGATTGAAGATTTTTTTGTGTGTGTGTGTGTGTGACTTAGAGAAACCATATAGTGATTGGTTTTTTTTATATATTCAAATAAATTTACTATTCATACGCAAACACCGACCGACCAACCAGAGAGAGAGAGAGAGAGAGAGACAAAAGCAGACAACCATTGATCAGGCAAATAGCAACGGAACATATCGCATTCACAGGTCTTTGAACTTCAAAGAAGAAGGAAAAAATTTTTAAATGATAATAAATGAATGAAACAACCAAAAAAAAAACAACATTTCTTTGTGTGTGTGTGTGTGTGATAAATATTCACCAAATTGTAATTCCATAAATTTTGTTTTTCTGTCCATTTTTTTTTCTAGAAAGAATAGCCAAATGGATAAATGGAATTAGAATTGTTCATTAGTAGCAATGTTTTCATTTTCATATAGGAAGATTTTATTTTTTTTTCTCGTCTGAAAAAAAAATCTGACATTCCACACACACACACACACACATTATTCGATTATCATATGACAATATTTGATCAAAATTGTGATCAAATATTCAATGATATTCGATGATAATACTGACCTCAAATATTTACTTTGAATATGACGATTTTTTTTTCTTCTTGCTTCTTTGCAAAAAAAAACTTGTCTAAGTAGAAAAAAAACGCATATTCGATTGCAATCGTGATTTTGTTCGAAGTTCAATTCTATTGGCTATAAATAATTGAATTTTGAATTGAACAACAGTTGATATAGTACAGAAAAAAAACATAAATCTGACAATCTCCATCAAAGAAGAAAAAGAAGAAGAAGAAAATTGAAATGAAAATTGTGCAAAAAAAAAATAGACATAAACACATTCAAACAAAAGCGACCTTTGATATTCTTTTTTTTTCAAACTAAAGAAAAGATTCGATTCGATTCGATATGATTCGATTTGCAGTTGTTGTTGTTGTTGTTGTTGCTGAAAATACATTGTCTCGAATCGAATATCATCATCATCGATAAGGATTCGATTGATGGATGGATGGATGAATGGATGGTTTACAATTACCAGCCAAAAAAAAATCAAATTCAAATTCATCCCATAAAATGATAATTTTCTTTTCTTTTTTTTTCATCTGGATTCGAATTCCAATTTTTTTATAATAATTGAATAATAATAATAAAACTTTTATTTTCATCATCTATAGAAACTAGGAAGCGAATCATCCATAGCATACAACATTTCTTTGACATTCCATCATCATTAACATGGTAACCATCATCATCATCATTAGTTAAATGTATGTATTTAATTTCAATTTCTAAGCCCTGATTTGAATTCGGGTTTTTTCTTTCTCGTCGCTGTTTTTTTTTATCATCATCATCATCATCGTAAAAACCGTTACATGTTGCATGCATATATTCCGTTTCGATGTGAAGACTATAGCGATAGTTCGCCAAATCAAACAAAAATTTTTTTTTTCTTTGATTGAAATTGAATTCAATTCATTCTATATCAACGCACACACAATATATAATAATCATCACTATGGTGATTGTGTGTGTGTGTGTGTGTGTGTGTTGATCAACAACAACAACAACAACAACAACTTGTTGACATTCTCTCTTCTTTATTTTGTTTCCACACTATAGATTCACATAAAACCGATTGATGATATCGATTTAACTAGCTAACAAACTAATGGAAAAGATATCTCTATAAATCTAACCATTTCCTTGATGATCTTGTAATCATCATCATTTATTGATGTTATATATGTCTCTATGATGTTGATAATAATTTGCCGCTATTTTAAAATACAATTGATGATGATGATTACCGTTGTTTTCAGAGTTTTCTAGATTGATTGATTGATTCGGCCCCCTCTCATTCCCTTGTTTATTTGTTTGTTTGTTTGTTTGTTGTTGTCATCAGGATTCGAAATTTAAATTTTCAAAAACAAACTTTTTTTTGGGCTCGAGAATCGAATCTTTGAACTTTAGATTCGAAATCTGTTTATTTTGGTTGATGATGATGATTAGGATGATGATGATGATGATCGCCTCATTTTTTTTTAGTTTTCTCTTCCGATTATAATCATTTATAATCAATTGTTCAATTGATTTGATTGATCGATTATTCAAATTCGATTATTATTATATTGTTTGATTATTTCATTACCAAATTCGTCAACATAAAATTATCATCATCATTTTTTTTGGTCGATGTGTGTGTGTGAGCGAATTTTCATTCTTTATGGGTGGCCACGATTATTTATTTTTTGGCTCTCATCATTTTTTTTTTTTTTGGGTTACGTGATTTTTTTCTTTTGATTTCATCGCCATGTTTTTGATGAAAAACGAAAAAAAAAAATTTTTCTTCATCTAGAAAAATGCTAAAATAAAATGAAAAAAAAAATCCGATACCAAAGAACGAAAAAAAAAATGACAACGACAACGAATTAAAAGAACGCACGAATGTTCAAAGAAATCTGAATATCATCATCAATGAGAAAGAAAAAAAAATTGAATGAATGTTTATTAGGAATCATGTGATATTGAGACAGACACACAATTATTGATTATCGATTTTTTTTTTGGATGATGATTTTTCCTTCATCATCATCATCATCATCATCCGTCCATCGATCGATTTTTGATATGAATCGAATCGAATGATCATATGAATGAATGACTGAATATGATTCGGGAAAGAAACAAATCTTTTTTTTCTTTCTTTATTTGATATATACAAACAACAACAACAACAACAACTTTGGATTCGACTTTGATTCGATATCCATCCATCCATTCATTCATTCATTCATTCAATTCAATTCATTCATCTCGAATTTTTTTTGCTCGCTTTCTTTCTTATCATCATTTCGATTTCTTCTTCTTCTTCGTCGAGATCTTTCGTTTTTTTCAATTCGATAATTGAAATGAACAACAGCGAAGGCGAAATTAAAAAAAAAATTCTCCTCAATCCGAAAAAAAACTGGGAAATAATATTATAAAAAATTACCAGAACAAAAAACAAAACAAATATAAAATCTAGGTTAAATAATAATTTTTGGTTGGCTGGCTGGCTAGTTGGTTTTTTTTTTTTTAGTTGTATCTGCTCCAACAACAAACCAATCAACCAACCAACCAACCAGCATAAACACCTTTGATGTTTATTCCATCAATAAAGGCGCACACGACAAATATATCCACATTAAACAACAAAAAAAACAAGGGCGCCATTTTTAATTTACCACCAATATTTGATGATGATGAGCACCATTTTTATGATCAGGAAATCCGCCGCTTTATTAATTATTTATAAATTATCGGCCAAATCGGCCAAAAAAAAAATTTCCATGATATTCCAGCTTGATCTAGATTATCATCATAGATGGATGAATGGTTGTTGTCGTTGAAGATTGAATAAACATTTTTACACCCATTTCCGTTTGTCTTCATTTCATATGGTGGAGTTGTCAATTGGTTAAATAATAAAATCATCACACACACACACGCACGCATATATTCCAAGGGTCGAAGAACTTTAAATTCAGGAAAGAGAAAAATACCGACAAAAAATAAAAATAAAAATTTTTCATTCGAAATCAAAAATCGGTACATTCAACTGGTGTTCATTAGAATTTTCAACCTTTGTTTTCAGCAAAAAAAAAACTAGTAATTGATTTGCGAAAACTATCCGGAATTAATGATTACTGTGCGTACATGGACATTATTAATGCCGATAATCATCATCATTGATTGATGAACATGATTGAAAAATGCACCAAACACACACACACACACACTATACAAAAAGACGATTAAAAAACGTCAACAAAACAAAAACAAAAACATACAGAGGATGATTATGATGGTGGACATTGGCATCTATCAATTGTGTCTGTATGCGTGTATTATGTGTTCGTTGGTGGTATTTTATCTCATCTTGTTGATTTTAAAATTAAATACCAGATTCAAAACAAAAACAAAAATTAGATCATCCATTTCCAACAATGGAATAAAAAACGTAAACATATAATTCAGCATATACATGACATTATTTTCCATGATTGGTATTTGATCAATCCAACTATTGGGCAGTAATTTTGTCTAAAAAAATAAAAAAAAAAGAAATTTTTTTTTTTTAAAAAGCTTAAAAGTTGTTCAAATTGATATTTAATATTATAGTTCTTCATTGTTGAGTTGATACTGATGATGATGATAATGATGATGATGATGATGACATGGCAAAACAATTTAATTACACATTTGATTACATTATGATAATCGTAGATTACAAGCAATAAATCCCAAATGAATACAACTTGGATACATGATAAGTGCATAGGATTCATCTACATCCCTATTCAATAATCGTAAATGTCGATTGTTTGGTATGAACATCCATTCACCAGCAATTAATTTAGGTACATTTTTCATTATCGATTTAGTTCGTTGATGAATAACATGCATTTCATTATACAATAATAACAGGTAAAAATATTCTCCTACACCTGTATCTATTTTCATTGATGAGAATGGATCCATTCGAATAATGTGTGCATTGTTATTTCCTGGTAGATTTAATGCTGAATTAAAAGCAATTCCATGTTCAATAGCTTTTCGAAATTCGATATCTTTGATATGACGTAATACTTCTTTTCGATATTCTTCACATTGGTCATTCAAATCATGGACCAATATTTGACAAATCGTTTTAGTCGCTGGTTCAATAGTTGGTTCATTATCTTGATTTGTGTCTATCAATGATTCACATAACTTATTTATAACAAAATAAAAATGCGAATTAATTTGATTTCTTTCCAAATTCAACGGAAATTTGAAATCCATTTTTGTAAATAAAAAAAACTGCTGAAAATATCGATACTATCGATAGCCAACAATAATGAAATATCGAATTTCTCCAGTGAGAGAATCACGTGAAACAGGACCGAAATGTTTCAATCCGAAGTGATTCTTTCGGATATCTACAAAGATGATGCAATTTCAACAGGTATTTTCATTGAATTACAATTAATTTTAATTAATTCTATGTCACTTTAGTCAAGGTCTTGGTTTTACAGCTATCGGACAAGGCTAAGATGACCAATATAATGAAATTTTTAACGACAAAACTACCGATGACACAAATATCCATGAATCATTTGAAACGAATAAATTCTAAACATGACAATTTCCAGATATTGATTTCTCCGATAAAAGATTCGTCCTGTAATAAAAACGTTGATATCATACAAAAAACGATCAACGAAATGAAAGAGGATTTACGTGAATTTTTACTTGGATTCGATTCTGATAATCTCTGTTTACGAGAAGTAGCAGCATCAAGCCCTTTAACTCGTAATCAATTCGAACGATTATCACCATTGTGGCCTGTTAATTTTTTTGAGAATAAATAGTAATTTCATCATTTATTTAATTGAAATTTATATTCTTGTGATTTTAAAAAAACTTTCATCATTTTCTCAGTATAGCTAAATGCCTTGATGGAAGCATATTTTCACCCGATCATTGGAAACGAATTCATGAATTAATGATTGAAACGTTAAATATGTTGAATAATGATTCACCATCGTGTATGTCGTCCATAATCGTCAAGGATAATGGCAAACGAATTGTAACTAAAACCATTTCAAGGACCAATCAACATCCATTACATCATGCAGTGATTGTTGCCATATCAAATGTTGCCGAAATACATAAACAAGCTAAAGAACAATTATTAAAGGATCCAGATTCATTTCAAGGTGATAATCATTATTATAAGGATGATTATCTTTGTACCAACTATGATTGTTTTCTTAGCCAAGAACCATGTATAATGTGTGCAATGGCATTGGTTCATTCAAGAATTCGTCGTGTATTTTTCTTCGAATCAACAACAATATCGACAATTACTAATGAATGTTATGATCAGCCATATACTGTACAAAAATTGCATATAAATTCAAATCTAAATCATCGTTATGAAGTATGGAAACTTTCCAAACAGGAAAATTATGCAAATAAAAAACAGCGGACATCATGATCATCATTATTATTAGTTTTTTTTTTTGGTTTCAATAATTTTATTATTTAATTGAGATCACATGATAAATTGACATTGATGGGTGTAGGTTTTCTTTTTTTTTCTCTTTCTCCCTCTCTTTCAAAAAAAAAAATATTCAATGATTGTGAATATATTGTATTCAAACAATAAAGGAAGTTGGATTGAAATTCCGATTGATAAATGAATGAATCCTGAATAATAATTAGTGTAATATGGTAAATGTGTGAATGAGTGAAAAAAATTGATCCAGAAATTCAGCGGCAGCAGCAATTAACAGCAAATTATTCGAGAACAAAAAAAAAGAGAGAAAGGCACAGAAATGAAAATTATTTTACAGGAAAAACAAAAACAAACAAACAAAAAAAAATGAATAAATTTAGGTCGAAAGAGAGATCGAATTTTATATTTTGTCGCTTTTATGGATTTATGAAAATATCAGGATGGATGGATCGAAACCTTGGGATTTCACATGTAACTTGGTGCTTCTTGTCCGGTCAATAAACGAAACATGGAAGTTGGCATCGTTTTCATGTGAATCTACAAAAAAAATGAGGAAACATGAAAATGAAAAAAAATTGTCAATTTTTTTTGGCGATTGAGCCAAATCATCATCATATTAGATTAATTTTCACATTGGAAAACCTACTTCTCCCACTGAAGTGGCCAATAAATTGACAATTCGATCATGTGGTACGGCTACAACCTAGAAATTTTTTTAAAAAAATAATTAATTGATTTGTAATATTTTAGAATATAAAATTATATCATACACTTTGTCCATTGATTTCGATTATACGATGACCAACACGAACACCGCCACGTTCGGCTATTCCACCACGAAGTAAGCTACAAATCTAAAGATGATAAATGGTATTTTAATTTAAATTGTCATAAATCCAAACAAATACATACAACACCATTTTGTACGCTAAATCCTAATTGATATTTTGTATCAGGACGTTTAATTTTCACTTCAACAACCGGTGGACAAGGAACAATCGTGAATTTAACGACAGTTTGATTTTTAGTGTTCTGTAAAACAATGAAATAAAAAAATTTCAACAATTTCAAATGAAATTATTCGAATCGAATAATGTACCTTGACATAGTTTTGACAAGTAGATAATGGAAGACCAACCAGACTGATGCCATTAATGGCAATGATTTGATCACCAATATTTAATTGTCCACAACGAGCACTAGGACTATTTTGGGCTAAATTTGCAATGACCACTGTAGGGAGCATTGAACCCCAGCCAGATTCAACGATTACGATTCCGAGTATTTCTCCTTTTTGTTTGGGCACAATGACCTAAATTTTTTAATATTTGGATAAAAGGCAAATGGATTGAATTGAAATGCGAATCATTTAAGAGTATGTGTCGATGTATTACTTACTTCTTTTTGTTTTTCTCTTTTAGAGAACATTTCTAGTTCATCGCCGAATATTTCTTGTGAGTTAAGTACTTCTTGATAATCCATTTCCTTTAAAAAGCTACTATCTTTAATACCGTTAGCTTTAAGGAATTCCATGTAAGCCACTTGAAATGCCTGACCAATCGATTGGGCAATGTACTGTGCTTCCTCCGATTCAAACACATGGCATATCATTTTAGGTGAACGCTTGATTCCGGAATCATTCTGATCATCGATCTGTGAACGACGTCTGGCCATCAACACTAATAGATCACCAATGTCGGCAATGTATGATATTGTTCGAAGTGCATGATCCATCATAATTTCCTGTTGACGAATGGTTGATGACGGAGGTGGTGATGATGGCGTTGATGAAAGGAAATGATGGGGGAAAAAGACATTGACAAAAATGAAAACAAACGCAATTAAACAAACATACTTTCAAATCTGTATTCAGAACCATGATTTTTTCTGTTGAAATAAACAGATCGACCTCGGTGCTTGGCTGTGATTCTCCTTCCGGTGCCTTTCCGGTTAAACATGAATTTTTACAATATAAAAATAACATGGAAAAATTTAAAAATTCAACCAAATAAAGATATTATCGCAATGATTCTATCGATTATTTGAATAAATGCTCTTTAAACTAACTGCTACTAATGCATAGACTTACCAATGACTATACGAATTCATTTTGAAAGCAAACAAAAATTTTGTTAAAATTAAGACCATAGAATTTTTCACTGATCATCACTGACCTTGATCCTTGAAACAGCCTCTTCTGCTTGCATCATACGAGTTGCTTTCGTAGGTTGTCCATCGCATACTAATTGTGTTGAACCCAGATAACGAGCACGAAATAGTACACCTTCGATTAAAACTTTTGATGATAAATGGCGAGCTAAATTTTAAAAAATAAATAAATTCCATTATAAATATAGGATTTGCTCGAAAATAAAATGAATGACTTACGTAGAGAAAATAATAAAAAACGTAAAGATTTATAAGAAAAAGATAGTTAAAAAGTGTTTATCAATGAAAATTAAATTATTTTCAAATAGCTTTTTAAAATCGAAATTTAAAAAAATTAAATCATTTATTTACCTTCACGTGATGTGTTGGAACGTTTAGTTTGAGTCTATTTTTAAAAAATAGAATGATTTGAAAATCATTAATTGAGAATTTCAAAAAATATAAAATTCATTAAACCTGTGTTCATTATACCTTTTCATCATAGAATCCTTTATCATCATTTTGACTAACACGTTGACTACCGAGTAGCCGATCAGTTTCCTGATCAGTATCACAGTCTATTTATATGAAAGAGAATAATGTGAAATTTAAATTCGATAATAATAAGAATCACTGACCATCATCAGGATGTCTAAGATTTGGAGCTGGTATTGATGATGATGATGATGTACCAATAGGTGCGACACCTGAAATGTTAATGGTTCCAGGTACAATAGTTGCATTCGTAGAATTCAACGTAGCCTGAGGTTGTGTTGCTTGTGACTGAAGATCTTGGGTAGGAGATTGATTTAATTGTGTTGACTTATGATAATGATGATATTGATGATGATTGATCGATGATGATGATGATGATGGGGGTGGTGGTTGCCCATGATGAGCTGATACCGATGAAGCAGATGATGCAGCCGATGATGCGGATGATGATGATGCATTATGATGATGATGATGATGATGATGATGAAGTGAACCATCACCCGGTGAGTTAGGCGATTGCAACATTGTTGGACTACTGCTTAGATTCGGATAGTTTTGTTGATGTTGTTGAACACTGGATGGTTGTGGTGATGGATGATGATGAAAATAATGATGGTAAGAATTATGGCCATATGAATGAGGTGGTGATTGTGGAGAATCGGAAGCTGCATCAACAGTCGATCCAGGAGACAATGTAGTGTTATTGTTGTTATTAATATTTTGGTTGGCCGATAATGATGATGAATGAATCGATTTATTTGGCATCGTTGCACGCATTGATGAATGTGAATTCGTCATTGGTCTGAAAAATTTAAACGATTTTATATTTTTTTACTTTTATATTTTTTTTTATACCTGTTGGACGATGATGAACTTAGACAATATTTATTATCATGTGCTATTCCTGTTTGTTGTCCAGTTTGACATCGTAAATCAGTCATATCCATTCGTTTCGGATGATGTTGAGTTTGACTCAATGAATTAGTTGTGCTGTCTGTCACTGTTCTAACAGTATTGGTTTCATCTGCTTTGGAAAATTTGAAAATTAAATTTAAAGAATGTTTATCAAGAAAAAAATTTTTTTAACAAAAATACCTGTAATCATTTGAAAATTCGTTGGCATTGATGATGGATGATACTCATATGAATTGGAATTATCATACATAATATTCGAATCTTTATCATCCGTATCATGAATTCTATTGTTTGAATTGGATGTCGTTGTGGATTCATCTCTCCCTGTATACGGGCCATTATTTTTTCCACCCACATTAAAACCAGTAAAATATGATGGTTGTGGTTGGCCATTTGTTATTTTTGCTTTGGCTACAAATTGATCTTGATTTTGTTTACTATTGTTGTTATGATAACAAAAATCATAGGAGTTTTGATTAACAGATTCACCGTCAACATTCATTGTATTCGATTGCTGTTGATGATAATTATTGTTGAATGATGATGATTGCGATGCGACATTTGTCGTCGTTGTTGTTTCACAACCAATTACCGTTCGACCATTTGATGTTTGATATTCATGATTATAATCATCGAATGGTGGTGGTTGCTGTTCATTATTTATCCCTGTAATATGATCTTGATCATCCCCACCATCATCATCATCATAATCATATTCCATCATTTCACCATCATCTCCATCATCGCTTGATGGCATTCCAGATGAAAGACCATCTTCAAGAACGGGCATAATATTTATTAATCTTGTATCATTTTCCGGTATCATTGATGATGATGATGATGATGATATTTTTTCCTTATTATAATAATCACGACGATTACAATCACCATTGCCAGACAAACATAAATCACTAACATTCAAATGTGTCGAATATTGATGATTTTCAAGAAAATCTTTTCCATTAGCCAATTCGGGTGATAAACATATGAATGAATTTAATTTACTTTTACGATTACGTCCAATATCATTATTATTGTTATTATTATTATCGACGGTCGATGATGTTGCCGATGTTTGATCGAGTTGTAAATCATTATTACTAATACCGCTATCAGCTACTTGCAATTCATTCTCATCATTGTGTGTTTTTGTATAATGAGATTTCGTATAATTCTTACGAAATTCTTGATTAAGATGATGTGATGATGATGATGAACCATAATCATCATGATCATGATAATTATATTTATCGCCAGATTTATTACTATCACTCGATTCTAATGAACCAGAATGATTCATCTTCAAATAATCCGATAAACGACCACTGGCAGCTGTAGCTGATGCATTCGTAATTGAAGAAAATTTTCTTAACGTTGCCATCTTTGTCAATGATGATGATGATGATGATTCGGCATTGGAGGATTTGGTAATTTTATTTGCATTTGATGAAATCATATAATTATCATTAAATTCTTGTTGTTGTTCCAAATCAGTACGTTGAATAGATTCGGATTTTATAATCTCATTAAATGTTTTCATTGGTGATGGTTTTGCATTGGTTGAAGTATTATCAGTTTCACTATCGATGGCAGTTTCAGTATTCGATATATTCAATATTGATTTAACTACTTCATCACAAGTGATTTGTGTTTGTTGAGTAGGATATGGTTGAATTGGCAAACTATTCTGACTAGATTCTTCATATGATGGTTGATTCGAATTCGAATCATTTGACATCATCGTCATCATCATTTTAGATTTATTCGTTGATCGCCATTCAGATGATGATTTTTTTGTCGGTCGATTTGATGGACAAGAAAAACTGGATGAACTATGAACATCGGTAGAGGAATATGTTGCTGATGTTGATGATGAATGTGGTGAACCATTTGCTGATGATAATGTTGTCGATTTTAATGAACCTATTATCGATTCTTTTTGCACTATTGGTTGTTGCTGTTGAATAGATGTCATACTATTGTCATAATCATTATTTGTTACATTATTATTCGATGATATAATTCTTTGTGGATAACCAGGTTTTGGTCCATAACGTTTTGGTGAGCCTTCATATTGAGCTATTGGTACAGAACCAATAATTCGTGCAATTGGCTCATTTAAATCAAATTCTGATTTTTTCTCAATCGAAATACTGGATTGATCTGATTCGGATCCAAGATCAATTTCTTCTTTATGATCAACAATAAAATTATTATAGTCTTGTGTTTGAATATTATCATTACAATCATCATCAATATCATCAACAATGACATTATCTGTGCCATTGTTTTTTGATACAATTGATAATTTATTCTTTAAATCGGTGGCAAATTTTTCGCAAACTAAATTCATTTCATTTCTTATATTCTCATCTACATTATCATTATCATCAACGATATCATCTATCATTGTTTTATCGGTTGTACCAAGTTCTGTTTGTTTAGGCAACAATGTTGTTGTTGTTGTTGCTGTTGTAGAAAATCGTTCACATTCTTGATTATTATTTTGGTTATTTTCCAAAAAAGATTGATGTTGATGTTCGATAAATTTGAAATTACGATTCTTGTTATTGTTCATCAACGATGATGATGATGGTGATCGATGATTAGTCGTAACTAGTTCAATTGTTGCACAATTATTCGTATTAGATGTGCGACTACAATCATCATCAAGATCATTTACAGAATCTATGTTAATATCACTTGAAGATGGCATTTGACAATCTTCTTTATACGAAATGACATTCGACGTTGATGTTGATTCCATTTCTGATGGCTGATGATGTTGTTGTTGCTGACTAGAGAATTTTTCATTCGAATATTTCGAATTTTTTCCCATTGTATCACCATGATTTATGGCCGATAAATTTTCATTTGAATCATTTGAAAATTCATCTATATTGTCCGTGAATTTAGATGAATTCTCAATATTTGTCAACAATTCATTATTTTGATTTGTATTGTTTGTGGATTGTTTATTGCTACGGAATTGAGCTACACTAGATGGCATGGTTGATGATGGCAAAATTTTCTTGTCTGTACCAACATTGTAATCAGTGGCAATGGACACAGTAGTTTCCATCAAATCGGGTGATGGTGCTAGATCCATAAAATTGAATGATGGTCGAATGACCATTGAACCAATGTTTGATTTAAATTTATTCTTAACCACAGCCGATTTAGACATAATTTGATGGCTATTATTCTGATATCGTTTTTTCGATCGAGTACTGCGGCTTGAACTAAATAATTCATTACCACCAGCCATTGCTAGATGATGATCACGAGATCTCAAATCATTTTGTTGACGGCTAATATGATGATGATCATCATCATTAACATCCACATCATCAACATCGCCATCACAATAATCATCATCATCACAATTATTGTGTTTTATATTATTTACATTAGTCGTCGTACCGATTGATTTAATCAAAGTGGTATTTTTATCTCGATTCATTTTGTTTACCATCATAGCATCCATGTTGATCCTACTGAATAGGATATCATCTTCATCGTTGAGATCATAATCTAATTTATCTTGACGGCCACAAATATCAACATTTTGAATTTTATCATCTTCAGGTGATAAAAGTAGACTATCCAATCGTAATTTAGCTGCAATTGTTGGCTCTTGATTTTTTAACCTTCTTGGCCGATGGATAGAATTACTGGTTGTTGTGACTGTATTATTTGTTTCATTACCCCCATAGGGTATTGATTTCCGTATCGATGTTTCGTTCGATGATGATCGATCACGTGAACAGGTCGAATCGTTCGACATTCGTTCATTTTTGATTGAACGAATTTTCGATTTTGATTCTCGATCATCTGGTTGCGATTTTTGTTGTTGATTATGTGTTGTTATCATTGGCTGCGGTATATGCATGTTGTCTTCAATTGGCGATAATGTAGGTGGTGATGGTGATGGTGATATGCCCATAAAATTCCATATCCGTTTTCCATGATCATTTATTCGGTTATTTGAATTTTTCAATCTCGGATTCGTCGTTGGAATTTGTTTTTTATTCAAATCAATCGATGGTCGAACAGTGGCTAATGAACAATCATGTTGATCGTTTTTGATATTACCATCATTATTATCATTATCATCACAACAATCTTTAACATCATGATGGTATTCCATAGGTGTTCTTTTATCTTTATTATTATTATTATTATTATTGGAAGTGGTTATTTTTGTTTTTGGTCGACATTTTGGAAATAATTTTTCAATAAGCTCAGCATTTTCCATAAAACCATCATCACTTAGATTATTAATTGATTTACTATTACTAAAGCCAACAATATTCTGCTGTATATTGTCCGAATTCGATTGCAATTGTTGTTGTTGTTGTTGTTGTTGATGATGTATAATCGAATGATAAGATTGACTTTGATGAAAGTTTTTATTTATATTCGATGAATTACCGTTGGAATTATTATTATTATTATTATTTTTCCAACCACCATTCGTTTGGTATGGCATTTCGAAATTGATAATTTTTTTTTTACTTTTTTTCTTCTTGTTCGATCACATTAACCACTTTGTTATTATTCGTGTGTGTGTGTGTGTGTCTGTATGTGACAGTATTAGCAATCACATCGATTCAAAATGAATAATTGATTGATTGATAGGCACTGAACTTTATGTGCTGCATGTAATAATAATGATGATGATGATGATGATGATTTTCAATTAAGCTCTGATTAATTAATATTTTTTTTTCAATTAATAAATAAAAGTTCAAAATGTATTATAAGCTGGATTCAAGATTCGATGATTTTTGTTTAGCATTTACATCTGTTCAAACATCAGAAAAAAATAATGCAAACAAAACAATGATTATTCATTTGATGACGATGTGAACTCGAAAAATCTCCAAAAATGATCATAAAATCCAGCAATAGTTTGTTGGCATTCACAACAAATGGTGGTTTTTTTCTGGTTGAATATTGGGGGGGCAAGGAACTGAATTTTTCTCAATGCTGCTGCTGCTGCTGTTGTTGTTGTTGTTGAGTCAGTATTAATATCTCTTATTGGATCGATGATACCAGAATAACAAAAAAGTGGTGATAATGATTCGAGTAAAAAAAGATGTACACAAAAAAAATCTCGAAGTTAAAAAATGTTGTTGAATACGTAGGAATTATTTTCTATTTTTTTTCATTCCATCCATCTACATTAGTGGGTGACACGTAATTTCTCGAATGAAGAATAAATATCAACATCTATTGTTGTTGGTATTGCTGCTGCTTTTAGTGGAAAATAATAATGACAACAAGAATATTCTTATTTTATTCGTATCACACACACACACACATACCTTGTACATACATGAGCTATGATCATCATGTTGTGTGTAGAGTAATAATGATTCCATTCGGGAATTTCAACAATATAGACCCGATAGTTTTTTTTTGCTTTTCCCATTCATATTCTATTCAATAGATCGAATTTTTTTTTTTGGCGAGTCCATTTCATTCATATATGTGAACTATATATAATCTACTACCAGCGGCCTTTCTTTTGGAACGAACGGACGAAGTAGTATAATGCATAACCGTTTGTCGTTCCATGTATGAACCCGAATGTTTTTGTTCTGTTTGAGATTCGTTAGCGCATACGCAAACACCGATGATTTCGGGTAAAAAAAATGGGATTTACCCAGAAACAATTTGGTAATGATTCGGTTTTTGGCCAGTTTAACATATATAACATTAATGTGCGTGTGACATCTGCACAATATTCAGGAATTTCTTTCATTTTCAGTTTCACGGATACCTAAAGATTGAAAAGAAATTCATGCATACATAATATAGATTGATAAATAGATTTTTTGTAAACGATACCGTTTTGTCACGGTTTAGCGGTGTTAACTACTGTTGACGAATTTTTCTTTGAATGTTTGATTCATAGTCAGACAAAGATGATGTGATGATGATAACAAGAAAAAACATGAACTTCTGTTTGGTTTTCTTCAAAAAAAAAACAGAGAAAAAATTTAATAGCGATAACAGTGACGATGATAGTGACACCTCTTATAATAAACAGTAATGATGGGCTAACTAAAAAGTGGGTTTTTCACATTTTTCAAAATGTAGAAAAAAAAAACAAAAATTTTATCACCGAAATAAATGAAAGTCAATCAAACAAAACAAAAAAAATTCGACAATGATGGCAGATCATTTCGAACCGTTTTACGAACATTTTACTGGAAACTTTCCTAACAAAATTGATTAAGCTTTCATAGAAACTTTTTGCGCATATTCAATATCCGCCGTTCCAGGATTTTATTGATAAATTTTTTTTTTTGACTAAATAACATTTCGAATCGACAAAGAAACATGGTATGAAGATTTCCTTTTTTTTTACTGATAATAGCATCGTTTATACAATGCAAATTCTTGCAGTGTGTATGTACTGGGGCTTAATTATAACAAAAATGATCTATTTTACCCTACGAGTTCTTTATCTGTGTATCATTTTTTTTGTCCGTTATCAGTTTTTTTTTCTTGTTTTGTTATCCTTTGATAATATTATTCGTTCAACATAAAATGATTTACATCATCATCAATTTAGTTGGAAACATTTTTTTCAAACATTTAGCTTTTATTTTCTTCCTTTTCGTATACGTGTATACGTATGGTAGTAGCATAGATTTTCAACAATGATGCCAACTCGCGCGTTTTTGTCTCTCTCTCTCTCATGTCTGTTGTTCATGTAAAAATTGACGAGTTACAGACTATACCCGACTTGTGAGTGAATTATCGTTCCAGTAGAAAGTTCATAACTTGTATTTATTTGTAAATCGTAGCCCGTCTGTATGTGGTAGAGGCGCAACAAGTTTTTTTTTGTTTTGTTTCAATGACCACTACTATTGACATAATCAACAATCAAAGGGGTCATTCATAAATGAAATTTTTTTTTCACTTTATCAATTACACATTGACTATAATACTGCTGCTACTATAATATAATACACACTACAACTACATTGTGTGAATGGAAGTGTGCGCGTTTTTTCTTTGATTTCCTTTTTTTTTATTATTATCTATCCTCCTCCTCCTCCTCTTCATCATCATCATCCTCCGCCTTTTCGTATCCAATTGTTGAGCGCTCGAAAAAAAAAAAATCGATGTCGAATGTCGTCGTCGTCGTTGTTGTTGTTGTTGTTCAATCCATTATTATCATCAACAATTTATATTAAACAAATAAAGCTCAAAGTGTCTTTTTATTGAGAATTTTTTTTTCTATGCGGTTTTCATGGAATTTTATTTTTATTCAAAACAACAACATCACTAGCAAAAAAAAAAAAATGAATCGTTTGTACGATTCGTCGTATAAGATTTAAAACAACTTCTGGAACAACGTTTCATTTCGTCATTTCGTCAAAATTTCATTATTTCGAACAAAAAGAAAAAAAAAGAAAATTTCGTTGTTGAAAATTCGGGTCAAATTTCATTCAAAATAATTTTTTGTGTTTGTGTGTGAATTATAAAAAAAAAACATTCGAAATTGGTGATTTTTATTTTCAAATTTTTTTTGGTTTTAAGTGAAAGAATTTTTTTTTGAAATTAACATCATTTGTTGTGTACGTGTGTGTGTGTGTGTGTGTGAGCAGTAAGGTGAATTTTGAACCACTTTTCAGGTAAGATTTTTTTTTTCGTTTTTGTTTTTGCTATTCTCTTGATGTGAAAAAAACCCAACAGTGAAACGGAAAGCTTTTCCGTTTTTCTTCAACGTTCAATTTGATTTTTCTATTCGTTTTTTTTTCGTTCAAAATCAAATTTCGCATAGAGATTTAAGAATAATGTACAGAATTTTAATTTTAATAGAAAAAAAAATTATTCAGAATATTCGAAATCTTTTTATCTGAAATTCTCAGAACGCGTGGAAACTTCTTGTGTGTGTGTGTGTGTGTGGTGATATATTCAAATACCAAACAGATTAGATTTCGTAATTTTTTCTTGTTTTTTGTCGTTTTCATTTTTTTTTATTTTATTTTATTATTTATTAGATGAATGAAAAAAAAAATTATGCAAAAGGCGTCGTCATCATTTGTGTGTTGGTGTGTGTGTGTTTGTGAATGGTGAAACACACACACACACACACACACCTCTTGCAAGAAATATATGAACGATATAGAATTTAATGTAACTTCAGGCTAAATAAATTCAGGACAAAAATGATTATTTGATTCATTGCAATTAAAAATCAATGAATATTCTGGAAAATTTTCCATCGTGAATCAAATGAATATTTTTTAATTTTTTACAAATAAAAAAAACAAAGTTCGAATTTCCTAAAAATATCATCATGATGATGATTTTGAAAATGAATGTCCAAATATTTTTTGCTTTAGAAGTTTGTAATAAAACAAAACAAAAAAAAATGTTGGCTTCACTGTCACGCAAGTTTTTTTTAATGTTTTCTCGTTCTTTTTTTTCATGTTTTCACATTTTCACATTCCCGTGTGTGTGTGTGTGTGTGTGTGTGTTGTATTCCTCGTTTTGTGTACATTGCTCGCTTTTTATTTTTTTTTTTTCTCGTGTGAGATTCATTCGTTTCATATATATATGATATGATATCAACAGTTTGTTTGACCTAATTTTGTTTTTTTTAATAATTTGTTCCATACATTAATTTATTGATTTTTTTTTCTTGAAAAAAATTACAATTTTTTTTTAATTGTTAGGTGAAATATGGCCAATCAGAATTCAAATTCAAGTGATCTTGATGGTGGTAGTGCTGATGGTGGTGTAACTACAATGGAATCAATGGAAACTGGTGGTACTGGTGATGTACCAATCAATAGTTATCAGGTTATACGTTTAAATCATCAGGATCGTATGTCATCGGCATTTGAATCAATGCTTTGTGATGAAATGTTTTGCGATGTAACAATTATTTGTAATGGTCAAGCTGTTAAAGCACATCGTGTTATACTTGCTGCAGCATCATCATATTTTAAAGAAATTTTTCAACATATACCATTTGGTTTTTGTCCAATTGTGTTTCTTAAAAATTTCACTAATGAAGATTTAAATAATATACTGGAATTTATTTACAAAGGTATATTAGTTATTCCATCTGACCGTATTCAATCGTTAATTGATTCAGCCAAATCACTTGGTATTGTTGGTCTAGCTACATTACAAATGAATATTAATGATAATAATCAAAATAATAATGGAAATTTATCGATAATTAAAAATATTATTACACAAAATGATGACGATGATGGTGGCGATGATGATGATAATGATAATGATAATGATTATAATAATATTGTTAATGATAAAAATATTGATATATCATCATCATCGGCAACAATCAATCAAAATAATAGTAATACAACGAATAATAATAATAGATTACATACTGGTCGTAAAAAACGTGGCCGTAAACGTAAATTACCAATTGTAAGTTTAATAATTTTGTTACGATTTCTTTTTTTGATTGATTTTTTTTGGTTAATTTTTTATTTTTTTCGTTTCATCATTATTAGTCAAATGATAATAATAAACCTGTTGTTGTTAATAATAATAATAATTCTAATGATGATCTCAGCACCGCCATCACTACTACTATTACTACTATTGTTACTAATCCCGTCAAACCTATCAATGATAATGATAATAATCAATTTAATAATGGTTCAAAAATACATAAATCATTCTCATCAACAACAACAAACCATCAATCGAATGGTCTCAATCAAAATTTAAATGATATTAAAATATCAAATAAACCGATTATAGAATCGATCACATCATCATCATCATCATCATCACCACCATCATTGTCATCATTATCATCATCGTCATCGTCATCGTCATCGCCACCAAAATCCAATGGTTTAGATAATAGAAATGATAAATGTAATGTGAATCATACACAATTGAAAACTGTAAATAATTTACAAAAATCGATAATTACGAATGAAAAATCCATTGTATCATCATCATCATCAACAACAACAACAGCAGCAGCAGCTAATGATGATAATACAAGCAATGGCAATAAATCATCAGGTCTATTATTGGGTGGAAAATTGCTTCGAAATCGAAATTCACAACAGTCAACTACGGAAAAAAAATCTTCAATATCGAATAATAATTGTGATCAACATCAGCATCATGATGGCCAGATATCAGATAATAAAAATAACAATAATAGTAACAGCAGTAGCACCAGTAATACAAAGAATAATAAGATAACAAAATCAAAATTACGATCATGGTCACAACAAATATGGCAGAAAAATCTAGCAACACTTAGATCATCGACAAAAAACACTAATGTATTACCATCATGTGGTTCATCATCATCATCATCATCATCATCAGATTCTGTTGATCATGATCAATCATCGAATGATAATCAAAATGTTGTTGGTGTTGGTAGTATAATTTCCGAAACAACATCTAAAGCCAATGATACAAAAATATTGAAAACAACACCAGCAAATGTTGATATTAAATATGAAATACCTGAAGGAAATTTAATACGTGTAGAACCACGTCGTGGTAGACCACCGAAAATTAAACAAACATCAACATCATTTACTACCATTCAAAATCAACAGGTACCAAGATTAAGTCCATTGGTTCTGTCAACAAAATCAACAAAAAAATTAACCAATGGTACTGTAAATGGTCATAATGGTGCTGTTAATGGAAATTCAAAAGCCGTTGGACAACAAAAATCTATTAAACGTGGTAGAGGAAGACCACCATTACTTAAACAAGATCCATATTTAAGAGAAGGTGCATTATCTAATCCAAAATTTTTATCCAATATTGCGAAATCATCTTCATTTACGGCAGCTTCAAATACTCTTACCGATGTCGCTGCAACCATTGTTGTTCCGGTTCAATGCTCAACTTCATCATTGATGACCACTAATAATAATGATAATCAAAATATGAAAACTATAATACCAAAACAAGAAAATATTGACGATGATGACGATGATGATGGTGGCGATGACAATGAATTGACCATTACAAATGGGACAGCCAATATTATTGATAATAATCCGAAAAAACAAAACAACAACAACATTGGAAATGACCACTAATAATTCTATATCGTCTACTACAAATCATGCCACCATTTCCACATGATGTTGATTACTGTAGTAATAAATTTTCACATATTCATCTTCTCTTCTCCGTCCTGAATTGATGATATATATGATTTTGATATAAACATATGTTGATGATTGATAAACATAATTATTTTCTTTTGATTTATTTTGTTTAATAATGTTTTGTGAAAAAAAAACATACACAGCATCTATTCAGATTCCTTTTTTTTGTTCAATAATGAATAGATATAATCTTGATTTAATAATTTTGTTTCATAATCACCACCACCAACACCCACCCACCCACCATTTACAGACATATTCACTTACCTTACTTACTGTATAGTTATTATATATAATTTTCATCATCATTCTTTTTCATTGAAATTTAAAAATAAATTTAAAAAAAAATTCATAAATCAAACAACAAATTGTTTCATATTAAAAAAATATTCATGATTCGAATTTTTCATTTTTTTTTTCATTTTGTCAAATTCAGATGGCGAAAGTTTCATTTAAATTGTTCGAGTTGAATTTTTCTTTCGTAAGATGTCGTTATGTGTATTTGTTTGTTTATCATTTTGGATACAAATCAAATTCTTTATAAATGTTCCGTTAATTTATTCCATGGTTCTAAATCATTGACGATCAATAATCCTAATAATATATTAAAATTTACCGGGTCCCAAAAAATAATATTCCGGTGACTGTTCTAATTTCTATTTATTTTTATGGCTAAAAATAAATAAATCAAAGACCATTGAACGCTTTTGGATCATTGAAAGAAAAAAATTTGATCAGATTATTATCACTTTGGTAATTGGTAAAAGTAAAAGAAAAAAAAATTGATTATTTCCACGAACAAATTCTCATTTTGCAACCAAAATTAAAATTGTTGTTTTCATGGCAACAAATTTAATAAATGTCTGGGCCAAATTAATCAAATTCATATATGAATCGAAATATAAAATAATAATAATCTTTGGATTTGGTTGCTAGATGGTGGAAGAAAAAAATATTCACATCTGCATATGACATGAACATGAACAAGAATTTCAGAATTATAACGCTACTGTTATTCTGTACATATGCAGAAAAAAACGTCCTTCAATTATCATTGAATATGAAATGAATGCCATAATCAATCGATTAGGCATGATTATACATATTTCAAAATTGTGTAATTATTATTATTTGATAATAATTAAGAAAAATGTAATATAATTCAATGTCCGGAAATCCTTTAATACAACAAATAAGATGAAGAATTATACAATACATTCATATTTCGTAATTTCAACACACAAATGAATTTGTTTCTCCCTGTCTCTCACTCTCTCTCTCTCTTTCTCTTTATTTATTTTAGCAACAACTAAATGTTTAATTATCCATTGATTGATTGATCAGCCAATCATCATGACAACAAAAAGAATTTGCAAAAAAAAAAATTCCTATTTCTCATCATCATTCTGAACATCTGGATAATGAAGATGGCAATGTGAACGAAATCAAAAATAATGATTGTTTGGTTTTGGTTTTGATTCATTTTTTTTTCTGAATTCCGTATTTCTAGAAGAAAAAAAAATTCCTGTCCTCAACATGTTGGTTTTTCCCCACCACCACCGCCACTAACTACGGAAAAATGGATTGATGATTTATTTTTAAACATCCCAATTATAATCATCATCATCATCATCATTAGGATCCATAAATATATGTTAAACGTTTGAAAGAGTTACAAAGTTTTTACGAGCTGTATTTATCCCATTACATTCATATATTTATGGTGAAACCATCGGGGTTAAATAATTTCATCATCAACATCATTATTTCCACTGATAAACTGATCATCTTGAATTTATTTTTTCATTCCAATGTTCCCATTTTTATCTTCCATTCACAATTTTTTCGGCGACCAAAATTTTTTAAATTTCATTTCTCCATTTTGTTTCATCATCATCATCATCATCAATTATAATCGATCAGATTGTATAGTGGATGAATTTTGTACCATTTCCATGAAGCGGCATTTAATAATAATAATAATTTTTCAACAAAAAAAAAAGATTAATTCATCATGGATCAATCGATTTCAAAGAAACAAAGAAAAAAAAGTACATTCGAAAAGAACATTGCACAACATAAAATTTTGTGCACCAAGTAGTACGCGTGTTAATTTCTTGCAATAATGATAAATGAATCGTCGTAGTCATCTTAAGAATGAATAATTGGAATTTTTTTTTTTTGGTTGCAACGAATATTCATGAACAAAAAAAAAACAAACAAAAAAAACACGTTACCCGGTGTTCATCAGTGAAATAAAAATGATCAATCAAAGCAACAACAACGTAATGATTTGAATTTCAAAATTGACTTGCTTAACTTGCTTGATTTTGGATTTTTTTTTTTGTTGTTGTTGTTGTTGTTGTTGTTTCATTTTTGATTCATATTCATTGTTTGTTATTGGGATGATTTTTGTTTGTTTGTTTGTTTGTTTCTTATTATTATTTATAAATATTGATTACAACCATTCATTACAATCAGTCAATCATGTGTGTGTGTGTGTGTGTATTGTAAATGGAAATTCTTATTGTATCTGTTTTTATTCATGATTGTACTCGTGTGTGTGTGTGTGTGTGTGTTTGTGTATGATCATCTCTTTTTTTTCTACTTGTTGTAAAGAAAAAAAAATATTTTGACCAATATGGATGATAAATGATCATTTATGATTGATGATCGATGAAAAAAAAATTGAATGATTGCTATTATCGATAATGATTGATTGAGTACCATATATACCATCGTCGATCAATTGAAAACAGTGGCTATGAATGAATGAATATGATGATGATGAAAAGTGGAAAAAATTTTATAGAAAATTTCGATTTTTTTTCATCTTCTAACCATTCATCCGATTCAATCCTTTTTTTTGTTCAATCATCATCAAAATCACGATGGTGGTGGATAGCTGTAAATGGATTTGAAAAATGAAAATGTTGATTTTTGTCTGTTTTGTTGTTGTTTACTTTTATTTCACCGTGGCAGCATTATTGAAAAAAAATTCAGCTTCCGAATTATTATTGTGTGTGTGTGTGTGTGTGTGTGTAATAAGCAAATTCAACCTGTTCATGATTTCTTTATGGGTCCTTGTATATTATATAATCATCATCATGGCCAAACGATGGATGAACACAAAAGAAAAATAAAATAATGATAGCTGTCCGAACATTGAAAACTTTTTTTTCATTCATTCATTCGTTTGTTTGTTTGTTTATTGATTTGATTTCAATTTGAATTTACGTCAATACAATTGAAATACACGAACAATACATATGATTACACACACACATTCACACACAAAAAAAATCAACAGCAACAACAACAACATCACCTGAAATTTTTAATATATTCTGGTTGTTTGAGAAATATGATAAATTATATGACAAAGAAAAAAAATGGACAACAACAACAACAACAATAAACTGACAAGAGAAAAAAAATAATTAATAAAGAAGAAGAAAACCAAAACCAAAAAAAAAAAACTATCACCACCAGACACGCACATACTTCTTTCACCTTTTTTTCAGTGGTAAAAATAAAACTTTTAATCCATTTGAAAACATTTGAAATTTTCATTTTTTTTCAATTCCATAAACAACAACAACAACAATAATCTTAATGTTTATATTGAAGTGGTGGTTACATTTGCAATTTGATCACAAACGTTATTGCAGATTTTTGAAAAATGACAAAACAAGATTCAATCACATACACACACACACACACAACATCCGTCCAAATTTTCTCATCTTTCTTATCATCAAATAATTGTGTAACAACAACAAAATCCACTTGTCTAAATATTTACCTAATATTTCCACATATTCAATTCGATTTTTGCTGTTGTTGTTGTTGTTGTTCTTCTTCTTCTTTTTTTTTTTTGTTCAAAATTCATTGATTCACACTTCTGGAATGTCTCTATCATTTTCATCATCATCATCATCTTTACATTTATTTTGAATGAAAAAAAAATAAAATAAAATCCCATTGTTTAACACACACACACACACAGTAAATAAGATTGTCTCTCTCATTCTCTCGATTTTTTTTTTATTTTCGATTACAATCCCCTTTTCCATACAAACACACAAACCGCTACTACCTGTTGATTGCATACAATTTGATTGTTTTTACATTTATCCATCCATCCATCCATCCATCTATATATCCATCTATCTATCTATCTATCCATTGTCATTGTTGTCATTTTTTTCTATTATTTAAATTTGATTGCAATCATTCACTCACAATCATTATCATTTATTTTGTGGGTGTGGGTGTGTGTGTGTAATAAAGGATTTTAATGCTCTCCCTCTTGAAACAAATTCAAAAAAAAAGAAAAAATTATTGCTCATTGAACAATAAAAAAAAAAAAAAATCTTTTCTATAATCTGATCCAATCATTTGTTTCAAACACCATTATTATTATTATGATGATGATGAAGATGGTGATTATTCAGTAATAATCATTATCATCATCATTTGTTTTATGTTTTTAAAAAAAAACAATACAAAGAATTTAAGAAGAGAATTAAACGAGAATAACGTTCGTTTTTTTTCGACGTTGAATATGTACATCTACACCCACCAACACACACACCAACACACACAATAGATAATAAACTTTCGATTCAATTCAAAAAAAAAAAAAAAATTCTTTTTCTTTTCGCCAATAGTATCTATTTTTGGATTCAACTGTCATCATCATCAATTTACATATCGTTTCTCATCCTCTCTCTCTCTCTTTAGGTTATGGGCACAATTTATTGGCTCTAATAATTATTATTATTATGATTATGATTGATTCGGAGCTGTTTTCGGCAACAAAAAAAAAAAAAAATTAGGGGAAGAAAAATTCATTCATTCAACCATTTTACAAATACATAGCCATTACTTTTTTTTTTTTTTTTTTTTACATTTTGTTTTACAATTGTTCTTTCAAGTTTAATAATGGCGATGATGTATTTTTTTTTTTTTTTTTTGACTTTTATTACCCTTCATCATCATCATCATCATCATCATTTAATTTATTCACATTGAAAATTTCTTTTAATTTCTTCCATTGTATTTTGTCTCTCTCTCTCTCTTTGTTTTTCCTCGGATTTT